TAGTACTGTTGGTTAAAGTCAGGGGAACTTCTAAAAACACATGCTGACGTTGAGCCTGCGGAGTTCTGGTACAGTCTAACCTGGTGGTAAATGCGTTGACATGCCTGGATCTAGCTGAATAATTTTGCGACAGTCCCTAAGAAAATTTATCATACAGTGACTGAATACTATTGTCCAGAATGTTTTCATCTAACATAATGTCGGGAAATCGCTAAATCAACGACATGTTTCAGTAGCTCATAGTTTGGAAGGTCACTTATTCTAGAGACTTGTTTCAGTGATCGTTTCAGCACCGGAAGTCAGTCGGCTAAGAAGAAGGCTCTTAGTGCATTTGTATAGAGTGGTAGAATGCGCGCGGAGAGATCTAGTAATGAAGTTGTGCTATACGTGAAGGTTTCTTGGTCAATTTACAGAGAGTTTCGATTAACAATGCAGAATCACGACAGGTTGGGGTGTGCTCATCAGGGTAGAAAAAGTGACAGAATAACATTCCGTCATCTGTCCTAGAATGCGATTCGACAATATCCATCTTGTTGATCGAAACCATATTCTAGAATCGTTTATATTAACAGAACGCTTTGGCTTGTGGCATGTGCCACAAATTTGGATTCTCCTGACATTTGCTGTAAGGCACTGGCTGCAACATAGCATGAGCAACAATTCCCACCTGGAAGGAGATCATAGTGCATTCATTTTTATTGACTGCCAGCCTTATGCTAGAGACATTCAGCATTTTGATTTCCACATTAGAAGAAAGTCACAGACCGCTTTGTAATTTTTTCTTTATCAAACCAATTTTTGAATAAAGTTTACGATAAAACATATTATGTTTCTAGGCGTCTTAGTGTATGAGTATGGAGATACTTTATAAACGACCGTCATTAAGTTTGAGGTAGACATTACGCACAGAAATTATCACCGCCAGGTGTCGCTGCGTCGAGAGAAAGGTGTCGCTATTCGTCGCCGCACCTTCAGTGCCGAAATGCCTGTACAATGTCTGACCGCCCGAACTGAAACGCAGTGGTGATTGATCACTGTAGTCAGTGTCCTGGGACCAGGAAGCCCGTTGAGGTTGCGGCAGCTTCTGTTGTGCTTATGAGTCGCCTACTGACTAACGTTTGCACATTGACGTTGCTGTGCTTCTCGCTCGCCACGTTGCTCGTCTTACTGCCGTGCCTTCGCCAGACTGCTAAAAAGGATCAGTCCGTTGGGCCAGCTCGCCTCCGGAGATCCGTTGCGCGGAATGAGGTGTCCCCTGACCCGTCTCTTCAGACGGTGCTCGTTCTCCAGAAGGACGGTCCCGACGTTGACCTCGGCCAAGGCACTACGGCACTTGGCAAGAACGTGTTCATTACCGTTAAGACCACTGCCAAATTCCATAAGACCAGAGTGCGCGACATCCTGGACACCTGGTTCCGTTTAGCTCCGGACAAGGTATGTAAGTAGGGTGACTTTGAGTCAGTTTCTGCTACTGTATTTGCAGTGAAACCTTTACCTCTTAGTAATCTCACGTAATCGTTGAGTTCTTAACTGCTTCGCCATTGCTGCTTCCTTTAAATCTCGTTCGACTCACTCAAGACCCACATACTTCATTCGCTATTCGTCGGTCGTTACAGATCTGACAGATTTGATCTGTGGCTGTTTGACGGAGTGTAGCGAGACGATAACGTAAATGCGGTGTTGCCGCGTCCCGATCACAACATCACACCAGAGCAAGCACAAAAAACGACCCTCGCTATGAGTGGGAAAGATATCGCAGTTGAGAGGCAGTTTCTATTTGTTTATATTGCGTCTTTTTTTAGTTTCTGGTTTCGCGTGTTCTGACGAAACATAATCACGGTTGTTTAAGGCAGTTAAAACTTAGGTGCTGCTTTGAGCATGCCGAACTTGAAAATTTGAATTCATATTATCAGTACTTATTAATGCTATGAATTAAAAGGTTTCCTTTCTTCAGCCTCCATATATGCAGCGTAAAACAGTAAGACAATTATTACATGATACCTGTAGAAAGCAAACGACGACACTTTAAAGCCATGCAAATTCATGAGGGTACCAATTAAATGTGATACTACTGATCTTTTGTACAGCTCAGGTCTTGTTTCCTGGATGACGAAGTATCCTCAGTGAACGATTTTCTCTATTTCCATGTCATCAGTCTGGTGTGCTCTATTTTTTTAAACAGTGCAGAGAACAGCTGTATGGCAAGCATGGTGTGTAGTTTTCCATGTCCTTACAGAATGATACTTATTTATTAACCTTGGAAGGAAGAAACAGGATCACCATTTTTTCCAAGGAAACCGGGGATCGAACTCAGAAACTATCGGTTTTGAGTCTGGCGCTCTATCAACTGAACAGCCCCGGCCAAGCATACCTATGTAACTGAACATCGTACCGCAATTATACGCAGG